TTTGTATCTATAACAAGAATGTAAAACTTAAAATATATATATATGTTAGCGAAGGGATTTCGCTAATTTATATCATTAACATTACTAATCTATTTTTTATATGAATGATCCATTTTAATATAAATTGAACTACACCACATATTTGATTTAAAAGAACCGATCCGATGTGCAAAATTTCGGGATAATAACTGAGACATTACTCTATTTATGGAACAATTTAGTTCATGCCACATTAAATGATAAACTCCTACAACAAAAAAATCTCAAATTGCCATATTACTAAAAGAAAACACACTCTTAAATTTTCAAAAAAAAAAATTCAACCTTAGCGTTGCGACTGCACGCTAATAAACCCTATTCAAATCCATCTGTCTATCTATCTCAGTCTATTCAAATCCATCTATCTATCTCAGTCTTTTCAAATACATCTGTCTATCTCAGTCAGCCAGTCAGTTATGAGCCATGCGTGATATACGCTTACGCAATCATGTATATTTAGATACATGACTGACGAGACGGATTTTTTTCCCGCAGCAGGTCGCCATTTCTTTCTGCGATAGGCCAGTTGCCATCCAAGGTTATAGAACCCAGTCTGTCCTGCTATTTACCCATGTACGTTTGAGTTATTTTGGATCTCGTCACTGATTAGAATTTAGAACTAAAATTATTCTACTTCCCCGAACCATGCCTCTTCCGGATGTTTCAGTTATTTCCCTTTAACTCAACTCTTCAAGATTGCTTCACCACTGCTGTGGCCTTGTATTGAACTCACAACACTTTGGGTCTAGTCACTGGATCTAACCAACGTCTTTAACCACTGAGACATGTGTCTTTGAGAATGACGCAATGAATAAAGACGTTGGTTAGATCCAGTGACTAGATCCAAAGAGTAGTGAGTTCAATACCAGGCCACATTACTGGTGAACCAAACTTGGGGAGTTGAGTTAGAGGGAAATAAATGAGACACCCGGAAGTGGGATGACAGTTGAACATGTTTTATTAACGTTATTGCATGTATTATAAAAACCGTATTCTGAAGTTAATACGCAGATTAAACTAATACTTGTTCTCCGAAATCCAATAAAAACTATTTTTCTATATTATATGCTGAAACATGGCTAATGTAAAGGATCGAACGAATGCTTAGAACCTGAAAATACCAAGGTTATTGAACGTTCACCTTGATGATATCAAAGCAACTTCGCACAGATCATCGAACGATAAAGAGCGATGTTTGAAATGTAATTAGCTCGAGAACTCGGACGAAAAGAAAAGGCTTTGGGAACTTCTCTCCTCGAGGAGAAAGCAAACAAAAGCAAGTTATAACGAAACAAGCCCTTTTGACCAGTGCTTTGAACCGGTTGGAAGAAGAACAAAATGTGTAGAATAATTCGCAGATTGGGACCTGTCAAGAAATACCCTTGGCAATCTCCTCACAATAAAGCAAATATTTTAAAGCGTCAAAATCGTGGGAAGAAATACATGAAAATTGAAGTAATTTTCACGGAGGAAATTCGGGTGACCCTCGATGAATCTGATGGATGGGCCAAAGGATGGATTTAAATGTGCCTGTGGCTAAAAAAAAAAAAAAGGTCGTAAGTAGGCGGCAGTCTAATGATAGAGATGGGAATTGTCGAGGCAGCCATTATTGGACTAATCAAATACGAAGAACGGGTTCTGCTGAAAACGTTCTATTTAATAGACAAAATCTTACAGAACATAAGATAATGGAATGGTTATCATCAAGTCCCGATTTTAAAATCTATGGTCAATTGTGAAGATGAAATTATCTGAAGGTAACATATATTATAACAGAAAAGAAAACCCATGGGAAAAAATGAAAACCCAGTTATCGGAAATTGAACCTGTTGAAGTAAAGACTAAAAAATAAATTGATGGTTTTTATTGAGAAGATTAGTTTATTAAGATGTAAATGATTCAAAGATCAAAGACTTATCACACATTTTTTGTTTTATTATAAGTTTATCTTGTTTTTTTTTGTTTTTTTTTTGTTTTTTTTTTTGTTTTGTTTTTGTTTTTTTTGTTTTGTTTTGTTAAAGGTTTCACCCAAGCAAGGCGGGAAGCCACTAGCACGCAAGGGATTATGGAGAGTGGGGGCAAGAGTAAAGAGTCGAGATAGAGAAAAGGATGAAGAGAAGGACGGGGGAATTAGATCAAGCTATCAGAAGATGTCGATTGACATTGCATTTGAATAATTGAAGATTATAGTTACCAGGGAAGCAATTAAGTGGAAGGGAGTTCAACAGACAGGAAGTGCGAAGCATGAAGCTATTGGAGTAGAAAAGACGGCTACATTTAACAGTTTCGACAGTGAAAAGGTGGGACTGAGATGCCAATCTAGTAACACGCTTAAATTCATGTAGTTTGGGAACCAGCGAAAGTGGCTCGTCAGAGCAGTTACCGTGAAATATTTGTAGGAAGCGACGGCACGTATGTGAAACATCTTCTTCTTCTTCTTCTTCTTCTTCTTCTTCTTCTT